AATATGCAATAAAGAAACAAAAAGATAATTGCACAATGAAAATATCATCACACAAACTAAATATTGTCTAATCAATACTTGAAAAACATAAATAAAAATTTAGCACAAATTACTTTTCCTACTTCAATATTTACACTACTTATTTTATACTTAATGGAAGTATAATATTAACTTTAAATATTTGTTTAATCTACTGTTTTGACGCGATATGTATCCTATGAAACTTTTTTCAACGATCCAACCGTCAAACTTATTTGTACACACTCCGAAATTGCATACGTAAAAAATCGTAAAAAGCAAACATTCAGAGATTACGTAACGGAACAAAAGTTTTCGACGGTTATAAACGAAAAATCACAATTTAACGGTTATTTTAGGTCCGATTTTAATGATTTTTTACAACTACACTCCTCGACCGTATAAGAATGTAATGAATAAATTTGATCTTAAATTTAAAATATTTACACTAGTGAATACCACAAAATCTTATTTTATACTTAATGGAAGTATAACATTAACTCTTTAAGTCTTTATTTAATCTACCGTTTTGACACGATACACATTCTATGAAACTTTTTTCAATGATCTAATCGTCAAATTTGTTTGTACACACTCCGAGATCGCATACATAAAAAATCACAAAAAACAAACATTCAGAGATTAGGTAACAAAACAAAAGTTTTCCACGGTTATAAACAAAAAATCACAATTTAACGGTTATTTTAGCTCCGATTTTGATATTTTTTACAGCTACACTCCTTAACCTTATAAGAATGCATTTAACTAATTCGATCTTCAATTTAAAATATATACACTAGTGGATACCACAAGATCTTATTTTATACTTGATGGGGAAGTGTTTGTTTAATCTACCGTTTTGATGCGATACGCATTCTACAAAACGTTTTTCGACGATCCAAAACATTTTTCGACGATCCAATCGTCAAACTTGTTTGTACACACTCCGAGATTGCATAAGTAAAAAATCGCAAAAAAAAAAAAAAAAACATTCAAAGATTAGGTAACGGAACAAAAGTTTTCAATGGTTATTGTAGACATCGAAATTTCGGTAAATAAATGTTGACCGATAAATCAAATTTTCAACGCTCATGTATTACATAAATTTTACACGTAGCGTGTGTCTAAACAAAAAATCGAAATAAGTTGGAAAAGTCATCAAACAGGACACGTGTCAACACCTGGCAGAAACGACTTATTTCATCTGAAATATTATACTCAAAATTAGGCCTTGGAAATTTCTATAAATAGAAGGCTAATTCATTCATTTGAGGGGAGGAATTCATATTACACCTTGAAGCTCTGAAGCTCTGAAACTCCGAAGCTCTCAAGCAAATCCCGAAGGATCAAGAAAGCCCTTTTCGTTCTTCATCAAATCCTCCTTCAAAATCAAGCCCTGACGGCCCTTGAAGAAAGTGTTCTTCGTTCTTCGTTCATCGTTCTTCCAAGATCAAGCCCCGACGCCCTTTGGATCAACAAGCCACCGTTCTTCAAGATCAAGCCCAAAAGCCCTTGAAGATCCGTTCATCACTGTTCTTCAAGATCAAGCCCAAAAGCCCTTGAAGACCCGCTCATCACCGTTATTCAAGATTAAGCCTCAACGGCCCTTGAAGAAACACTCATCCTCAAGATCAAGCCCCAACGGCTCCTTGAAGATCCGCTCAAATCCATCTTCAAAGATCAAGCTCACGGCCCCTTGAAGAAACTTCCAACAGTTCATCCAAGATCAAGCCTCGACGGCCCTTGGATCAACGAAATATCCACAAATCAACACCTTACGGAGATTGAATCAGATGATCAAATTTAAGAGAGATTGTAACCCAAAATCATCAAATACAAATATTTGTTTGTGCACGTTGTTCTTGTCTCTTTCGTTTCAGGAATTTTCCGTGTTCACAAATTGGCACACCCAGTGGGACAATCTCTACCTCTCATCTCTTTCTCCGTTCAAGAAATTCTAGCACATTTCCAAAATTAATGACATCAAGGAAGGCTCAAACTGTTCCCGCAACTGGCGCAAAGAACAAGAGCGTCCTCGTCGCAAGTGGTGTCACTTTAGGCATCACGACTCGAAGCAAGGCAAGAGCCACTTCTGCCGCCTCTTTCACCTCTGCATCAACTCTGCCAAGGGAACAAGAGCACCCAAGGCATGAGCCTTTGATCACCTTAGCCTCACCAAGGGCACCAAGGGGCGAAAGTCCAAGGAAATATTCCGAATCCATGCTCTCCGATGCCGATTCGAGCGGCAGTTCAGCCATGCAAGTCATGACCATTGGAGCAACTTCAATCGATGAGCAGCTAGCTCAAATGAATGAAGCAATCGCAAGGCTAACCCAAACTGTGGAAGAAAAAGACTTGCAAATCGATGCACTCGTCAGCCGACTGGAGCCACAGGACGACGATAACCCTAACCCAGAAGATGAGCCTACGGTGGAGAAAATCGATGCAAAGCCGGAGCCAGACCAAGCAGCGGCACTCATGGGATCTCTTTCTATCCAGCAACTGCAAGAGATGATCGCCAGCACCGTCAAGGCACAGTACGAATGGAGCTCAAATACCTCCGGGTTGTACTCAAAGCCTTATTCAAAGAAGATTGATGCCCTAAAGATGCCAAGGGGATATCAACCACCAAAGTTCATGCAGTTTGATGGAAAAGAAAACCCAAAGCAGCACGTTACACACTTCATCGAAACTTGCAACAATGCGGGGACGGATGGAGACTACTTCGCCAAGCAATTTGTGCGCTCGCTGAAAGGAAACGCCTTTGAGTGGTACACAGACCTAGAGCCTGAGTCCATCAACAGCTGGGAACAGTTGGAAAGGGAATTCCTCAACCGCTTCTACAGCACCCGCCGCACTGTGAGCATGCTAGAGCTAACGAGCACAAAGAAGTGGAAGGACGAGCCAGTCATTGACTACATCAACAGATGGCGCACTCTAAGCCTCGACTGTAAAGACAGGCTCTCAGAAACCTCTTCAATCGAGATGTGCATCCAAGGCATGCAATGGGGTTTGCAATACATCCTTCAAAGCATTAAACCACGGACCTTCGAGGAATTGGCCACTCGCGCCCATGACATGGAGTTAAGCATCGCCCATTATGGGAAGAAGGAACCGATCGCCGACTACAAGAACGACAAAGTTCTTGAGACAAAGGTGGAGAAGGCTGCATGGAAACCCACCAAGGAAGCGATGACGGTAAACACATCTCCCGTCAAAATCTCCACACGAGGCAAGGCGATTCAAACCGAAGCTTTTCATGATCAAGAGATGCGTAGACGCACTTTGAAGGAGCTTGAGGAGAAGACTTATCCATTCCCCGACTCTGATGTGGTTGCCATGCTGGATAACCTGTTGGACAAGAAGGTGATTGGTTTGCCTGAGTGCAGACGACCAGAAGAGATGAATCGCACTGACAGTCCAAGGTACTGTAAATTCCACCGCTTCATCAATCATCCGACAGAAAAAATTTTTGTGCTGAAAGATCTCATCATGAAGCTGGCTCAGAAAGGAATCATCGAGCTAGATCTTGACGATGTGGTGAAGTCAAACTATACCACCTTCACTTCTGGCTCTTCCGACTCAAAGTTTTCACCTCAACCGCTGGGGGCATCCTCCAAGACAAGCAAAGTTGAAGGATGGACTCAAGTCACTCCTAAGAAATTGCACAAGAAGCATACGTCTCATCCACAAGTCCGCCAATCGGAAAGGGGGCAAAGCAGCTCTTGTCAACCTTCAAAGCAACGTGAACGTGTTGAAGATGATGAAATTTCGACACAAAGATCGTCTGTTGCCATCACGATGCGCGACGTCTTGCCCGAAGACTTCTTCAATCACGCGGTCAAAGCTCCTTGCTATGAAAATTGTGAGGAACGCCTCTCCCGGATTGCTTGACAAAATTCACAAATTCTCCTCGCCTGCATGAGCCTAAACTGCATGGCACAAAGCTTCTGGCCCGCAAGAGCATAAACTGCGTACGGCACAAAAAAAAAATGTATTTGAACTACGTTACGACTTGATCTCTTCTTTGGAGGGGTACATAGGCAGCTTAAATATTCAAAATTTCGAGTTCAGTCACATCAAAATATAAATAAATGTTTTATTAAAGAAAGTCAATTTTATTAAAAAAAAATGATGAATACATATGTTTATGTATTTACAAAAAAAAAAAAAAAAAAAATCAAAATATCGGCAAGCCCAAATAGTGGGCTGGAATGGATGAAGGCCCATTTTAACCATCGCCATCATTAGCTTCGGCCTCAACACCAAGCCTGATCTCACCATCAAGACTGGGGCTCACCAAAGCCCACTGCTCCATTTTGCCCTTCTCCTCCAGTGAGATCTTCATGCTGCTGCATGGGCAGTTTGTCTCTCTAAAAATTGAGCAGCCTCCTCCATTTTTTAACGACATCTCTATCCACTCCAAGCTCGAGAAACGAATCTCGTCTATCCTGAAGCGTGAAAACTGTCGGCGACTTCCTGGTGTCGTTGTCACCTACAAACGGCGAGAGGCTATTCGATCCTAAGAATCTCGGCCTTCTTCCTCCACACCTACCTCCTAGGGCAACCAGCTTCTATCCCCCTTGCCGTGCTCCATCTCCTTCGTCTTTAGCTCACCCACGGTAACATCAAGACCACCCAATAGTGGTGCAACGGTGCAATGGAAACAGCAGCCAAAGCAAGCCAATACCACAGGCCACGAGTCGACCCAGGACCAGCTGCTCTTGCTCCTTTTGTAGCAGCACCGTCAGCAGCAGCACCCCACCTACGTTCTGGTTTGAGAAGCTACCCTCTCTAACCTGAACTGTGCTTTTCCGCCCTTACACTCACACACCCCAAACCTAATTGCATGTTAGGTCTTCAAACTGGTATCGATTGTCTGCGCTGAAGATTTCTCTTCCTCAATTCTGCCGGGAAATCTTCGATTCGATTTTGCTTTTTGCTTGACGGAATCGGAGGTAGACGGAGCTGAGATTTAAAAAATGGCGGCCTCCACGAGCGGTGTCTATGTCAGTGTTATTAAGGATGTCATCAACAAGGTCCGCGAGGAGTTCATGAACAACGGCCCTGGGGAAGACGTTCTGAATGAGCTTCAAGGAACTTGGGAGGCGAAAACGGTGCAGGCTGGTGTAGTAAATAATCCTATAGAGAGGTCGTCGGCAAAGGGAACGCCTGGCAGTGGGGTTACTCCAATTCACGATCTCAAGGTACCGTATGAAGGGACCGAGAAGTACAAAACTCCCACTGCTGAGATGCTCTTCCCTCCAACGCCGTTGCAAACCCCAATTCCTGCAACCCCAATTCCAACACCTCTACCTGGAACTGGTGACAACATGTATAACATCCCTACCGGAGGTAGTGAATATTCTGCAAATGAGTCTGGTAGCAGCAATGGTGGTGTCAATGCAGAGTTGAAAGCTGGAAGATCTGGCCCCTACATGCAACCTCCATCTACTTGGATGAACCACCCGTCCCACGACCTCAACTTACGTGTACGGTTCATGTGCAGCTTCGGCGGTAAGATCCTGCCACGCCCGCACGATAATCAGCTTCGCTATGTCGGCGGCGATACCCGAATTGTCGTTGTGCATCGCACCGTCTCTACCCTTCCGCCTTCTCTCTCTCCTCTGCGTTGCTATCTCTTCAGGTCACTCCGAGGTAGTGAGGCTGATGTTTGATGATGATGAGTTAACAAGTGTGATAAACAGCACGGATGAAGACGGACGGCGGTTGACCTGCCCTTCATTATGCTGCCAGTAAGGGATGGTTTGAGGTGGCTCAGAGTTTGATCTCCCATGGTCAAGGATGAACAGGCTGCTGCTTCACCTTCGTTTTCCTCCTCCGTGCTCCTCCTTCTTCCTCCTCCAAACTCTTATCATGCACCCTACATATATATATATATATATATATATATGTATGTATGTATATGTATGTATGTATGTGTGCATATAAAAAATTACAATATAAAAAAAGGGAAAATAAGAGACATGGTGCACCAGGCACCGAAAGCAAAGAAAAAAAAAATAAAAAATGAATGATGGTGCACCCGGCACCGAAAGCAATAAATTAAAAAATAAAATAAATTAAAAAAATAAAAAATTTTGGTGCAGTCACCACCCTAAAATATATATATATATATATATATAATAAAAGTTTTGAAGTGGTGGGCAATACCATGATTAAAGGCCAAAAAATGTATATAAAAAAAAATATTTTGATCTTGGATGCGTCTGGCACCATGATTAAAGAAAAAAAAATGTTTGATGTTTGGTGCTCTGGCACCATGTGCAAAAAAAAAAAAAAAAAAAAAAAAAAAAAAAAGCATTAAGAGAAATAAAAGTCCATTTTATTTATTTTTTCTGGAAATTTTACATAAATTTTGCATTATACATATTTTTTAAAAAAAAAAGAGACAAATCAAATTTACAGCAGGGGATTTTCAAGGTTGATCAGATGGCGCCTCGGTACTCGGCGGAGCCCCATATCGAAGAGGCACCAGAGGGTGATTATTCAGAGCCTCAGTACTAGGCAGAACCCCAGGAGAAGGAGGCACCGAAGGTTGATCATTTGAGGCTTCATTACGCGGTACAGCCCCAGAAGACGAAGGCAAATGCTGCTGGAACAAACCCACAAACCTCCGATGATCAAATAAAATCTGACCATCAGATTCCTGCATCTGGTCAATCTTCCTCTTCATGTTTGTCGCATAGCTATGTGCGAGCTTATGCAACTGTTTATTCTCCTGCTTGAGCCCTCTAATCTCCTGTTTGAGACTCGTCATTTCAGCCGCCAATGATTCAACTTGACGGGTTCGAGCAAATAGGCGTTGGGCCATATTAGACACAGAACCTGCACACTGCACACTGAGAGCCAGAGAATCCTTAACAGCCAACTCATCAGACCGTTTGGAAAGTAGTCTGTTATCTCTGGGAGTGACAAGGTTTCGGGCCAACACCGCAGCAGTCATATCATTCCTCACCACCGAATCCCCAACGGTAAGAGGACCAGTAGGGGATATGAAGGATGGGCGCCATATGTTATCTGGAGAAGACGGGACTACCTCTTCACCAAGGTTCAAATCAAAACGACGGTCGGAGGGTCCAGACATTTTCAAAGGTGTTGAAGAAAGAAGAGGTCGGACAAATCAAGATCTTAGAAGTGCAAGAAGGGAGTTTCTACAAGCGAAAATTCAAGTGTGCTTTGAAACGAATTGCGTGCCTCTATAAAAATCAGCACTCGACGGGATTTCAGAGATCGAAGAGGCGAGTTCAGAATTCGAAGAGGCCAATTCAAAAAATCGAAGAGGTGCTAGCTTTCTCAAAAGCTGGGCTTGCTCGGAAACCACGGGCAATCTTCCTTTCCAGACTTGTCAGCACCCATCACACGCAAACTCAGCTTTGCGAAAATCACGGGTAATTTGTCGAAGCGCCGATCCCAGATATCGAAGAGGCGCCAGTCTTTTTCAGCCGCGTCAACACCTGTCATATGCACACTCAACTTTGCGCAAATCACGGGCAATTTGTCGAAGATTTTCGGTGAAGGAGAAAGCACGTGAAGCCATACTAATCAATCACGCATTGGTTGCCGACACGAGTAAAAGAATAGTACCTCTACAGGTACTAAAGAATTTCCTATAACTGTCCACCTTCACCTTCCATAGCAAGGCAGACATACAAAACCTTTCTTCATCTCCGAGAACCTCTTTTCATCTCCGAGAACCTCTCTTCATCTCCGAGAACCTTCCTTCATCTCCGAGAATGTCTTCCCAACGAAGCCTTTCGAGTCACTCAGTATTTCTTATTCCTTAGGGTACCTCTGCAAACAAATGACTCCAAAGCAAAAGTATCTCATATCACCAGGGTAGAAGGCAAGAGTATCTCATATCATGCGTTCTCCCTGTCCTTTCCTTTGTCCTTGTTCTTACCTACAAAGACAAGGATAAAGAAAACAATATGCCGGAACCTCCACTCAAACTCGGGTAAAGAACCGACTGCTTGGAACCCTTCCCTGATTGCCTACTTAGCACTGCTCTCGAGTACTCACTGCTGCTGTACTTCCAAAGAAGCTGCCACATCTGCCTGAAGAACAGATAAGGCAAGTGAAAATGATACCTTGCAGCATGTGGAGACAACGTGCAGAAGAAACAAGCAAAGAAGAATGCAGCCTGCACAGTCAACTCAGTAGAAGGAGTCTGAGATGAGGAACTCGAGAAGATGCCACATCTGCTTGAAGAACAGATAAGACAAGGGAAAATGATACATTGAAGCATGTGGAGACAAGCACAACAAATTCTTGGGTCGACTTGCTAGGCGTTGTGGGCTGCATGTGCCGTTTCACCACCCTTGGATCAAATCCTTAAAGATCAAGTCACTAACTGGAAGAAGAACCCATCAATCTTGAAGATCATACCGTTAACCAAACTACTCAGGTGTGAATTAGAAAGATTGAACAAAGCAACAAGCCGTCACCTTCACCTCGTGCCTACTTGCCATGTGTTCGAGTCAACCTTCAAGAATCAAGCCTCAACGGCCTTTGAAGAAGTTTCCGGCCAAATTCAAGATCAAGCCTCGATGGCCCTTGAGGAAATCACAAGTCCGATTCAAGATCAAGCGTCCACCATATTTGAATCAAATCCAGTTCAAGAATAAGCTGTGGAAAATCAACAATTGGAGGAATCCAGAAAATCCTCCAACCCAGTTCAAGATCAAAGCTGTGGAAAGTCAACAAGCGCAACAAAATACGTGCCGATTCATCCACTACCAAAGCCAAAGATCATCTACCACATGAAGCTCCTTGTGGTCCAATTTCAACCTTCAAGATCAAGCCTCGACGGCCCTTGAAGAAATCTCCAACCCAATTCAAGATCAAGCCTCAACGGCCCTTGAAGAAATCTCCAGCCCAATTCAAGATCAAGCCTCGACGACCCTTGGATCGACATCTACATTAAGGGACTTCAAAACGCATCTCCTACACGTGACAAACACATGTATACGACGCGCCTTGAAGTGGGGGCATTTGTAGACATCGAAATTTCGGTAAATAAATGTTGACCGATAAATCAAAGTTTCAACGCTCATGTATTACATAAATTTTACACGTAGCGTGTGTCTAAACAAAAAATCGAAATAAGTTGGAAAAGTCATCAAACAGGACACGTGTCAACACCTGGCAGAAACGACTTATTTCATCTGAAATATTATATTCAAAATTAGGCCTTGGAAATTTCTATAAATAGAAGGCTAATTCATTCATTTGAGGGGAGGAATTCATATTACACCTTGAAGCTCTGAAGCTCTAAAACTCCGAAGCTCTCAAGCAAATCCCGAAGGATCAAGAAAGCCCTTTTCGTTCTTCATCAAATCCTCCTTCAAAATCAAGCCCCGACGGCCCTTGAAGAAAGTGTTCTTCGTTCTTCGTTCATCGTTCTTCCAAGATCAAGCCCCGACGCCCCTTGGATCAACAAGCCACCGTTCTTCAAGATCAAGCCCAAAAGCCCTTGAAGATCCGTTCATCACTGTTCTTCAAGATCAAGCCCAAAAGCCCTTGAAGACCCGCTCATCACCGTTATTCAAGATTAAGCCTCAACGGCCCTTGAAGAAACACTCATCCTCAAGATCAAGCCCCAACGGCTCCTTGAAGATCCGCTCAAATCCATCTTCAAAGATCAAGCTCATGGCCCCTTGAAGAAACTTCCAACAGTTCATCCAAGATCAAGCCTCGACGGCCCTTGGATCAATGAAATATCCACAAATCAACACCTTACGGAGATTGAATCAGAGGATCAAATTTAAGAGAGATTGTAACCCAAAATCATCAAATACAAATATTTGTTTGTGCACGTTGTTCTTGTCTCTTTCGTTTCAGGAATTTTCCGTGTTCATAGTTATAAACTAAAAATCACAATTTAACAGTTATTTTAGCTTCGATTTTGATGATTTTTTACAGCTAAACTCCTCGACCCTATAAGAATGGAATGAATGAATTCGATTTTCAATTTAACATTCAAAGATTATTCTGACGGCTGCCCAAAATTTTGTTTTGTTCGTGTCGATTATATTTGACAGGGCCATGAGTGAAAAAAATATATATTTAAACCATGTGTTTATTTATTTATTTATAATCAATATAACATTTTAAAATAATAAAATAGTCAATTTCTGTCAGTTATAACCGCCAAAACACTAAAATAATAACTACCTAAAACTAAAATAATAAAATAGTCAATTTATGTCAATTATAACCGCCACCATTAACTTAAGAACCGCTGGAATATGGTAAAAATATTTATATAAAAAAAAAGAATTCAAAAGTAATGTCGGTTATAATAATTTTCTGGCGGTTGCATCCGACACTAAATATCCGTCAGGAATTTATGTCGGATATAACTGATAGGATTTCATTGTTATTCGACACCAACTAAATGATGTGTCAGATATCTTTTATTCGACATAATGGCTTATTAAACCGCCACTATCATCCGACACCAAAAGCTAATATTGTAGTAGTGTCTCTCCATTATAGCCAATCAAAAGCTAAGATTGAAGTTCTGTTATTTCATTTTCTTTTCAAACCTTTTTATCAGCAACCCAAGAATAATTTGAGTTGAAGTTCTGTTAGCGGTTCACTATTGTTATTTTATGAGATTGTTTTACGAACAAATCAGTTTGGGTAGGAGTTT